GTAATGCTGTGCTAGAGTATGTGTTTAACCTTGGAGAGATAAAGACCTTGTCTTCAGGTTTTGTTACCTTTTCCTAACTGACTTAGTACCTACTCCTTCCTGTCCCCTCTCTCTACTAATAGATTGATTACCTATTAGTAATGATTAGAGGTTAATAATACTGAGCTAGAGTTCTTACTAAGCAGGACAACAAAGGTAGCCTAGTTGATCTGGCCAATCTCTAGACTTGTGACCAATAGGGTTTTGTATATAAACTACTCAGTCCCAAGTCTTGAGTTAAGCTTTTCCAAACTTAGTTACTGTATTTTACAATTCCTAACACTTATCTACTAGACAGACATTATATTTTACAGATATTTGTAATCTTAAACAGTTTTACAATGTTGAAAAGGAACTCCTTACTACTGTTAACAGTCTTAAACAACACTACTGTATTGTAAGTGTACTACTTTCTCTCAAGGACTTACTGAACCCAGTTAAAGAGTAAAAAGAGTACTCTAACATAGAAAATCTTGTAAGTGTTAGAGAACTAGAAATTATTAAAAAGATCTGTCAGTGTATAAATAAAGAGTTGGACCTTAATATGTCTAGTAATGATTTAGACAACAATTCTAACATTGAAATTGATGAACCAGAATAAAAACTTACATCAAGAGAAGGACAACAACTTTGTACTCTTTTAGAGAATATATTACTATAGTATACTAAAGTTATATTTACTGTCTATCTTACAAGCTTACTATGTAAATTCTGTAGTAAACTACTTTGTAAAGAGATAGTATCTACTCATCAGACTACTCTTAATAGTATGTAGGGTAATTGTATTTGTATTGACTAAATCTTGTATGTTTTCTTTATTATCTTTTAACACAAAAGCCTTACTCTAATTTTAAATCTATTACTATATATACTTCTTAATATTTAACTCTATTTCTTAGACTGTATAGTAGTATACACAATTGCTATATTATTTCTTAATGTGCACCAATTTTTTTGTCTATACTACATGTTTACAAAGTACAAAAAATTAATATTTTAAATATATATTCAAATATAGTAATTTTTTTCCACACACTTTGTCTTACATATTATTATTAATGTATAAATGTCTGGCTTCTCCAGACATTATGTATTAAGACATATTTGACTGTAAATATAATGTTATACAAGAGTTGGACAAGAATTACAAAACAAATACAAGATTATTTAAGTATTCCAATAACATTACAAGTCATTACAAGTAAGTGGAAATTATTATAACTACTAATATTGTTCTTAATTTCTTAGATACTTGGAAGTTTTTTCTGCCTAACAAGATAAACGTCAGAAAATTGACAAGTCCATTTTCCCACCAACTAAAGTGATCATGTGTGTGTTGGTTTTTACCCATCTTGTTCCACTTTATTGAAGTTTACCTTCTGCTTTTCTCTCTCTCAACATCTCTTACTTTCTTCCTGCCATCTCTCTCCTCTCTCTCATGACTAGCTTCTACTACAGAGTCTACTGTTGTAAGAACAACTTCTTCAATATTTGCTGCCGTGTCCAACACAACCTGCTGCTCTACTGAACAACTGTATTACATTGACCATGTCTGAAGACGCGTGCCATGGGTCACTGCAAGATCGAGACTTCTTTTTAGGGACCCATGCTGGGAAATACCATACCATACCATACCACCCCAATAATGGTGTGTGCATCTCCTTGTCCCTCTCCATCCGCTAGTCTATTTCCATCGTCCCGTTTCTCTTTCCCCTGTGCTATTTTCTCGCGCAATTCAGTTCGCCATACTGACTCCATTTTCTCTCGCGGGCGCTGGTAGCACGAGCGCAACAGCTCAGTAACTCTTCTCAAGGCGAGTTGTGTTCTCAGTTTTTTTGCGACGCTTTGTGCAGGAGCTGCAGTGCTAGTGTGACGCATTGACCGAGTGGCCCCGCTGCGCTGCTGTGCGCTCACTATAATTATTTCGACGGAGGCTAACACTTATTTTTTTTATATCTCCTTCGCTGTCGGCTGAAGGCTGTCGGTAACCACTCTGTGTGCTGTGCTGCGCTGTCTGTCTGTTGCATATTCTTGGCTGGCGCGTCAAAATTGCCCATGGCGTGCAGCGGAAGGACGGGCTGTTCAAGAAGGCATATGAGCTGGGAGTGTTGTGTTCTGTGGACGTAGCAGTGATCATCTTCGGTGCGTTCGAGGCCGTTCTGTCGCGTATCTTGCGTCCCTGTTCTCACACACCTGCCTGCTCTATTTTTGGAACACTATCTTCCTGCTCGATGTCAACGGCGGCATGTCGATTCCCTTCTTCGTCTGACGCGCCCTGACAGCCCCGGGTGCAACTCCCGATGCCGATGGCCGATAACACCAATGATGACGACGCCGCTGCAGAGGAACGGGCTGGCCACCATGTGAAACTGCATGAGTACTGCTCGACCGACGTCGACAACATGGTCCAACGACACATCCATGTGCGTACATGTCTTTCGTGTTTCCTTTCTTTGCCATGCACCCCGCCTGCTGGTCACCGCAGCTGGCCCCTTTCTCCTAGTCTTCACGCCAGCTATTGACTCATTATTTTATCCCTATTTCTTTTTACATTTTATTTTGTTTACTTCGTGTGACTGCTTGCTGACACTCGTCTGCTCGTCTCGCACTCTCCCTTGTGGACTTTACTGTGGCCCCCCAAACGAACTGTGTGATGTGTGATGTGATGCAATGCCGCCCATGGACGCATCGACCCCTGTATGTCCGATGATCGCCCCAATGCACTCTCTCATATCGCCCCCTGCGCTAAATTGCGGTCACCACAGTCTATCTATCCATCCTCTCTCGCTACCGTTCTTCTGCTCCTGCCCCCCGCACCCGGCCACACATCTCGCCTGCATTGTGTTTCACTACACAGCCTTCGCGGGCTTCCTTGGTCCCTCACAACGCCCGCTCGCACTTCCCGTTACTATCACCTCCACGGTCTGTCCGATCGGCGCGCTTCCTGTCCCCCTATCCATACATCACACGTCCGGTTCAGTCGACCTGTATTGCTGTAATGTTCTGGCATGGCTTTTTCTCACTAGTTTGACAGAGAACAAGAATCTAAGCATCTGGCCGACTTTAGCAAGCAACCAGACAATGGCACTCACGATGACAATGACAATGATGATGAAGGTCTAAGGCCCTCAGGCTCTGGAGGTGCTTCTTCAGCTAGACAGGCTAGTGGATCTTCCAGAGGGATTATGAGAGGCAATGCAGGTATGAGTGGAAGAAATAAGGGTGGTACAGGATTTAATAGTAGTTTTAGTAAATACTTTTGCCTGTAATTATTTACTCAAGTATAATATATTTGTTTTCTAATTCAATAATGATAAAAAAGAATGATTATTGTAGGAAGCATTTATTGTTCAAGCAACTCTGGTAAGAGCTTGTATTCTCACTCAAGTCTTGTATACTCTGACAATTTATAAAAGTATTGTGAATTTTAGAAGTCTTACAGACCTTCTAAAGATACATCTTAGTAGCAGATGCCAATGTAATGATTATTGACAGACTTCTATATCTTTTATATATTATAGTTATTAGAATGACATACAATGTATTGTCAGACTACATCTAATTTTGTGATGTACCCAAGATGTCCCCCTGCAGCAGCACCTCTGTGCCTGTTTCTGACACAATGAACAGCCTTGCCACAGGGGGCTCAAATTCTGTTCAATCTAACAGTGTAGTAACACTCAGTCAATGGCCTTGTTGGTGAATCATGATTCACTGCAAGTGTTGGAGAGAATGGTGCCAGACTCTACATTCCTTGCTCAGATTCAAGGTGGTGTGTTCATTTCAGAGGGGGAAGGGTATAAAGGGATTTGGTTCATGTCCAGTAACTGAGTGTCTTGTCAGTTTTCTCATTGATTACTGTTATCCTTCCCAGCCACTTCCCACCCTTTACCTCTTAGTTCTCAAATAACAGAGATGAAATTTGACAAGAGGCTTGTATTGTTGCTGGCCTTAGCATCAACAAGCACAGTGCTCCCCTTTAAACAGTGGTCCACTGCTGAAATAGCTGGTATGCCATTTAGTCCTACTTCTCTCAACAGAGTATATTTATCATTATTTGGTATAGATTACATTGTTCTCAACTTTGCTTTAACACTTGAACATCTTGAGGTAGCATTCTATCAGGAAGGTCTAGCACTCTTTAACGAGTCAGCTTTTGAGAGTGCTGGACTACCAAGCTTTGTGTGTGGACAGATCATACAAATAAGCAAAAATGAACAAGAACATGAATGTGTCTTGACAGAAACTGTCAGCAACAGTGTAGAGGGGACCCAAAGGCTCAGCAAGGGGACCCAGGCTACAACTATCCTACACAACAGAAATACAGAATACAAGCACTAGAACATAGTCAGAACTTGCAGAACAGGCAGAGAGAGAGAGTGAGACAAGAGTAGAGTATATAGAGTGAGCCTAAGAGTACAGGACTACCTAGAGTAGACAAGATCAAGACTACAGGACTAGTCTGATCTTGTATGCCTATATATACTAAACTACACAAGAGTATACAGGGAGTATGAGCTACTAAGAATGATAAGCCATGAAGAATGAAAGAAAGGAATGTCAAAGATAAAGGTACAAAGAATGAAGGGATGGACAAAGGGTAAGAGACTATAGAATGAACAGAGAATGAAGGAGTGGTCAAAGGAATGGAATGATGAAGTAAGGAAGGGTAGTAGTAAGAGTCAGTATACATATAGTTCATAGACAGCACCCCTAAGGGACAGAAGTCCTGAGTTCCAGTACAGAAGGGTGTAGAACCCTTAGAACTAAAGGTAAGAGAGTAGAGAATTGTAACATCACCCCCCCTCTAAAACCAATCATCCTGATTGGTGAACATAGGGCTTGGTTAGTAGCTCAGGTATAGGTTAGAATAGTAAGGCTTGGAAATCTGTAAGGCTGAGTTTGTACAGAGTACTAGGATGAAGCTGATAGAAGTCTTAGATTGCCTTAGGAGTATGAGTGAGGTTCTCAGCAGGTTCCCAAGTATGCTCCTCAACTGGGTACCCTTTCTAGTAAACAAGGAATTTGAGTTTTCTGTACAGTAACTTAGCATCTACTATGTACTCTACTTTGTATTCTGGTTCAGAACCAATGAGTTCTGGTAGAGACAGAGGGGGTCTTTGTTACAAAGGAAAATCAGGATCATAGTACTGAGACAATAGAACCTTATTGAACACTGGGTGTATGTGCTTCTATGTTGCTAGAAGTTGGAGTTTGTAGGCAGAGGCACCAACCTTCTTTTCAATGATGAAGGGTCTGAAGCACTTGTTGTCCAACTTCTTTATTAGGTAATCCAAGGTCAGATTAGTGGCTTCTAGTATAACCTTATCACCAGGCTGGTAATCCTTGGCTGTAGACCTCTTCTAATCATAGTTCTACTTTATGACCTACACTACCTTCTCTAAAAGAGCTTGTGTGTCCTCCCTGGTTCTGTACATCTGTTCCACAAAGTCTGTTATAGATTCAGAACTACTGTTCTGGTTTAGAACTGTCCCCTAGTACAGATGTCTCTCATGATTGAGGAAGAACAGGGACTGTTCTGTTGTAGAGTGTTACTAGTTATTGTGTACAAATTCTGCTAGAGCTAACCATTCAGACTAGTCTAACTACTAATGATTGATGAACATCTAGAGATAGAGCTCAATCTCCTGATTGACTCACTCAGTTTGACTATTAGTCTGTAGGTAATATGTAGTAGAAGGGTTCCCTTGAATTCTGAGAAGCACATACAAGTCCTACATGAATTTTGACTTGAATTGTAGTCTACAATTGTGAATGAGCTTCTGAGGGAGTCTGTACAACCAGAAGACATGATTCTAATAAATGTGTACTATACCTTCAGAAGTGAGTTCTGTTTAGGTTGGAACTGTATGGACTTACTTAGAGAATTAGTTGACAATTATACAGATAATGTTGTAACCCTAAGACTCAGGTAGCTTACTAATCAGGTTCACTGAGACTTCTTCCTAAGAGTGATCCAGGATCTAATGTGGATGTAAGAGAGCCTGAACCCTTGTCTAGTAGACTTTAGTCTGTTAGTATGTATTGTAACCAGTCATGTACTTCAGGATTTCCCTCTACATTCTAGGCTACTAGTAGTTCTGAGTAATGAGTTCCTGTGTTTTGTGTCAGCCTAAATGTTCTACAGTTGGATTGTTGTAATGAGCTCAGACAATGTCCTCCTACAGCTTCTGATCCTTCAGAATGTACAGTCAGCCTTCCTAGTAAACCTGTCCATCCTTATCCTCCTCCTAATCCCTAGCCTGCTTTTCCAGCTACTTTACTACAACCTGGTCCTGTGTGTGTTTCAGAGCTTACTATATACAGACAACAAAGTCAACATCCTTGGATTTGAGTCAGATCTCTTGGATTGTCTTGGATGTGAAACAGGAATTGTTTAGGAGAACAAGATTTTTGTTATCATTCTCCCCCCTTTCATAACCTGCTTGTCTTGAGAGTAAATCAGTTTTCATCATTTGTATTCTGAGTTTGTAGGTTAGCACAAAGTTGTAGTCTTACAGTTTTAACATCTAGCAGGCTTGGTAGTAGTTGAGCTTCTGAAGTGCCTGGAAGTATTAAAGATTAAGGTGATCACTCTAAATCTCAAACTTCTGTACAGTACTAAGGAGATATTAACACTACTCCTCTAAGGAACAGACAATTACAAGGAGTTTCTTATTATAGATAGGGTAGTTCTGTTCTGTTACAGAGAGGGATTCTGATCAGAACACTATCAGACACTACTTTCTATTAATGAACTGGGACAGTACTACTCTATTCACAAAGTTGGAAGAGTTGGCTTCAACTCAGAACTTGTCCACAACTGTTAGAACTGCTAATACAGGCTTACTAGTGATGGCCTGCTTGAGGGACTCAAACACAGACTGTTACTGATCATCCTATTACTAAGGAACATCCTTACTAGTGAGATTGTGAAGGGGCTGGGCAATAGTACTAAAGCCTCAAATGAAGTATTAGTAGTAGTTTGCAAACCTAAGGAACACTTAGACCTGTTTCAGGTTCTAAGGTTGTAACCAGTTCCAAACTATAGTTACCTTTGCTGGATCCATACAGACCTCTCCTCCACCAATTACAAAGCCTAGATAATCTACTGACTCCTACACAAAAGAGTACTTTGCTTCTTAGAGAAACAGTTTATTATCTTAGAGCTGTTGTAGAACTACTCAGATTAGTCAGTAATAGTGTTTGACTGTCTGGGTGAAGATCAGAATGTTGTCCAGATACACACTAACATGCTCTGAGTCAATCAGATCTGTGAGAATGTGATTCATGAATGACTAGAACATTGTAGGCAAGTTAGTTAGTCTGAAGAACATTACAGTTGGTTCATACAGTCTGTAATTGGTTCAGAACACAGCCTTCTACTCATCTCTGTCTCAGATCTGAATATTATTGTACCTCTATCAAACATCCAACTTAGTGAAAACCCTGAATGTATGTGTCTTATTAATGAGCTCCTGAATCAGGAGGAGCAGGTACTTGTTTTTGACAGTACTCTCATTAAGATAATAATAATTCTAGACTGGGTAGAACTTCCTATCTTTCTTTTTGACAAAGAAGAAAGGGGAGACTATAGGGGACTTTAAGGGTTGGATCTAGCTGTTCCAAAGATTTTCCTGAAGGAACTCATCAAGCACCTCCTACTTGTCTCTGTTGAGTAGGTAGACCTTACAATCCTTAGGTTGGAAACCCTTAGTCAATTCAATTACATAGTTCTAGAGACAGTGTTTAGGAAGCTAGTCAAATTCCTCTTTACTAAAGACTTTAGGGAACTCTCAGACAAAATCTGGCAGGCTGGGTCTATGTACATTCTAGAGTAGAGTTGTTCTGAGAGGGTTCTAGACTAGTTCTGTCTCAGACATTCTTCAGATTAACTCTGTTCCACCTTGACTAGAATATGTATCTACATATTTATCCTAGTTAAAGAAGAACAACTGGTCACCTTCATCAGAACTGTCAGTAACATTAGAAGTGTTTGTATCCACTTAGAACAGTAGTATAAGGTAGCTACAAGACTCAGGACACTGATTGAATGTAAGTGTCTACTCTAACCAGTCAATAGTAGGGTTGTGAGCCTTAAGCCATTTGAATCTGATGAAGACATCTGTCTTTCTAAGGTTAGTGACTCTGAACTCAATACTTTCCTCATAATCCTGAATAGTCATCTGTAGTTGGACAAACTTAGTAATCTGACTATTCTGGTTTAGGGTTCTGTCTGTATTGTATACTAGGATTGGAAGTAGAACACATTAAGTAGGGAGGTAGTGTTCCTACACAAAAGCCTTATTAATACACAAACTAGTGTATCTACTGTCTACCAGAGCTGTTGTTCAGATCTGGGGGGATCCTGAGAAGGGAGCTAAGAGGATGAGGACTTAGAGCTAGTACTTAGAATGTTCTTGGATGAACTACTACTTGTTCTGAAGGGAATGTACAGCTTACACAGCCTTATTGTCTAAGAGGGTGAGTATATGTACTAACATTTCCTCATTAACCTCTCTCTTTCAACAAGGACAGACTCATGTCCTCAGCTGTGAACTTAGCTGAGACCATCCCTACTTAATACTATAGACAAACCACTAAGTAGTAAACAGGGCTGGGTAGTGTTCTGAATGTTCTAGAATCTTAGAATGTAGAAGTAGTAAGTCAGATTGTACAGATTTAGACTCAGATAAAGTGTAAAGAGAAGAATCAAAAGAATCAGAAGAAATAGGAGAACTATCTACTTTTGTTTTCAACTTTTTTCTTTCTAATAAATAATTTTATTGATTTATTTTTTCTACTTTTTCTACTTTTTCTACTTTTCTTACTTTATTTACTTCTAATCCTACAGTGTCTATTGAATCAAAAGTAGTCATTAAAAAATCTGAGTCATAGCCCTTCAGTACTACATTCACTGTTGGGCCTCTACAAAATCCTAGAGTATATAGTTAGGGTCTAAGAGTTCTGAGGTGACTTCCAGATTTACAGAAAAGGCTTCTCACTACAAATCCTGCTTGTCACTTGTCATCACTCTAATAACCTGACAGATATACTATTGTTTCTACAGACAGTCCTTAATCTGGTGCCCTGACTTTCTGTAGGCAAAGTATACTCCTCACTTTCAGGCTTCTCTAATGTCTATTAGAACAGATTGATTGTAAATTACAGACAGATCAATCTAAGGGCTCAGAACTGTCAGAGCTAGACACATGTACAAGCATTCTGTACAGACTTGATACATCTGAGTTACAGCTTGGTTGAAGGAAATAGTGTGTGTCTTCCACTCAGTGTAGGTGACCAGTTCTAGTATCATTCTGAGGATCTTATTAACCAGTTCTAAGTAAAGAGCTTTTTTAAGTATTCTGATAAGAACATTATTGAACCTGAGTACAAATCCTGCCTTCCAGGCCAGGATATTGAACTCCTGAAAGAAGGCATCAGTAGAATGTTTGCCCTGTCACAGAGACACAAGCTTGTTCTGTACATTGTACTTCTTATTCAAATTAATGAAGGAAGTACAGAGCTGTCCTATGAATTCTGAATACAACTTGTTGTTCTAAAGTTGAATCAGGCTTCCAATCTAATAGCCTTTGATCCAGTTCTAGGCCCAGGTAGCTGTGTTGCCTTCCTTTATAAAGGAGAGGACAAATAGGATGTGATTAAGATCTAAGAATAGATTGGTCAAAGTAGTAGCCACATATAGTTTGACTTAGTACTGGAAGTCCTCAAAGTACTGCCTATTAAAGTCTAAAGGGCAGGCTACATACACTTTCTTTCTGGAACAGGTTGTGACTTCTGGAACAATTGGAACAGGTTCTGAAGGGGCTGAGAGCACATAGTTGGTAAAGGCCTCTTAGATAGAGGTCTGTATGTATTAAGCTAGTTCTGCTTGTAACTGCTGATCCAGTAGGACAGTAAGGGTAGCAGTTGACATAGTAGGGTCCATGTCTACACTACAAAGGGATCAGCACTAAACTAAAAGGGGTAATGAATAGAAGAAGGGTGGCAAAAGTTTAAAAGGGTTTAGAAAGTTTAAAATTTAAAAATGTAAAAGGGTTGGGACAAAGAAAAGAGATTGACACAACAGTGAGTACTAATGCTTGAAATGTAGGAGAGTTGTAGGGTGGTAATAGGTAGTCTTGATCTGATGTCAGCAACAGTGTAGAGGGGACCTGAAGGCTCAGTAAGGGGACCTAGGCTACAACTATCCTACACAACAGAAATACAGAATACAAGTACTAGAACATAGTTAGAACTTGCAGAACAGGCAGAGAGAGAGAGTGAGACAAGAGTAGAGTATATAGAGTGAGCCTAAGAGTACAGGACTACTTAGAGTAGACAAGATCAAGACTACAGGACCAGTCTGATCTTGTATGCCTATATATACTAAACTACACAAGAGCACTCAGGGAGTATGAGCTACTAAGAATGATAAGCTACAAAGAATGAAAGAAAGGAATGTTAAAGATAAAGGTACAAAGAATGAAGGGATGGACAAAGGGTAAGAGACTATAGAATGAACAGAGAATGAAGGAGTGGTCAAAGGAATGGAATGATAAAGTAAGGAAGGGTAGTAGTAAGAGTTAGTATGTATATAGTCTATAGACAGTGCCCCTGAGGGACAGAAGTCCCAAGTTCCAGTACAGAAGGGTGTGGAACCCTTGGAACTGAAGGTAAGAGAGTAGAGAATTGTAACAGAAACCTTAGAACTAAATGCAACACAGTCATGTACATACTCTTTGTGAGTCCCAGTATTATACTATGTGTGTATGAATGTATTAAGCAAACCTTCTTACAGTCTACTAACAGACATAAATTCATTTGTTACTTTGAGCACAACATTCAAAGGTGTTAGTACTACTGTCTATACTAGTGTAGCAAACTTGCTGTCTGATAGTGCTCCACACCATAGTGTAATTTACAGATACACTTACAGTGTATACACTTACACACTGTATTGTAAGAGAAATTTCTAGCTGAAAATACAGGTATATATTTACACACATATGTGTATACTATGAGTAAAAAATTTCTGTATACACTGTATACAAGTATACAGTATTACTAAGCATATTCTCTAATTAAATACTAAGTTTGAGTTTCTAAACCTTATTTACTTTACTTATTTATATACCAAATCATTTTAATACTATATAACAACCTTGTTTAACTTAAAAAGTACTAGTATGAGTACTATGGTTAGTATGGTTACTACAGTACATCACATAAAGGTTTAGAGCTGTCACATAATATTAACTCACAACACTCAACTGTCTTATTTCTGTGTGTAAACAGTACTACAGGCATCACGAAAAAGTTGCAACAAATGTAATTAATAATAGCAAATGTAATGTAATAATGTACTTATATATCAATTACACTTCAAAATTATAATTATACTTTGCTTGTAATTGAAATGTAACAACTGTATAT